CTATATAAGTATTTTCTATTATTAATTTATTTATCTTATTATTAATTTTATATAACATTATTTTATTATTTAAAGACATTATTTCTGTTCTGTAATTTTAAGTATCAATATATCAAAATAAAGAATAAGTTTTAAAACATAATCTCTTGTTTGCTTTTGATTTAGTTTTCTGTGTGAATTCTATTTCAAATATCTTTGCTTATATCTTGAATCTTCTATGTGAATTTTCCTGATATAATACTATATCTGATTCTTCTTTGTGAATTATCTGGATATATTATATCACGTAACTAGAAAGGTTACACTTTTTTTTTCTTTAATTCTTCTCTTTCATTTTCCCTCTTATTATTTTTTTTCTTTATTTCTTTTTTATTTTTTCAATCTCTTATCATTTTCTCTTTTTTTGCTTATTTCTTTTTTTCTTTTTTCTTATTTCTTTTTTTTTTATTTTTTTTTAATCTTTTTTCATCTCTTTACTATTTATCATTTTTTTTATTTTGATTCATTTTTACTTCTTTATTATTTTTAGATATATATTATATGATCTTAAAACTTAATGAAAAGAAAAAAATAATAACAAAAGAAGTCACCATTAATTTTGATATAAAAATAATATCTATACTAATATAAATTCAGTAATTCTTGCTAAGATTCACAAATTTTTCTCTTCAATCCAGAAATTTATTACAGAAAAGATATATACAATCTTAAACTAATTGCAAAAAGAAAAAAATATATCAAATTTCTTGATTACAGAATATAATTGTAAATTCTTCAATCACTATCTCCTGCTTTATTACTATATATTTCATATATAACTTTATAATAATACTGATATTCTAATTTTAAAAGTGTGAAAAATTTTTCAAGAAATTTTTGAAAAAAGTAACTTGAAAATATATCAGTTTCATGATTTAATAGAAATACTTTAATCTCAATTAGAAATGAAGATGACTGTAAAAAAATTATTTAATAATGAATAAATTATTTAAAAGAACAAGAAATTAATATTATTATTTAATGGATTAGAACAATATAGAAGAAGTAATAAGATTTATTAAAAATTTAGAAAAGATTTTAATATCTATTCTTTAATAAGAAATATTTTATTATAATATAAAAAAATAATAATTTAGTTCTCTCTTTTCCTTATTTTTATACTTGTATATATTTTTAAGAATATTTAATATATAATAAAATTTCAATATTTATGTAAAATTTTTAAGCAAATAATAAAATTTTAAATAATAATTAATAATAAGAATATTATAGAGACTATATTTAGAGTTTATTTTAGTAATAAATTAATAATTAAATTTTATATTATTAAATTAAAATAAAGAGTTGCTAATATATAATTTTATTAAATTATTAATTAGATTTTAATTTATCAATCAAATAATAAGATTATGTAAATTATATATTATTAATCAAATATGATATATATGTAACTAAACTAGCTAAATAGCTTGTCTTGCTTTAACAAATTCTTTAAAATATCAATTTTATTATAAATCTTATATATTATAATTAAATTAACTAATTAGAAATAATTAAAAAATTTTTAAATATAATCAACTCTCTCTAATATTAATTATATAAAACTAGTTAATTTTATTAATATATATAAAGATAAATATTATGAAGAGTAAATATTATAATTAAAATTAGAATTTTAAATAAATAATATCATATATAAATATAATTTCAACTAATATTAATAGTAAAAATCTTTATTATTATTAATTAATTGATTATTTAATATAATTATTATTTTTTCATAAAAAAATCTATTAATATTTTTTGTTATTTTATTTTATATATATTTAATTAAATATTTTATAATAAATTTTATAATTTTAATAAATTTTATAATCTTAATAAGTCTTATTCTTGTATAAATTTAGATTTATATTATTCTAATATTAAAATAAGAAATTTTTTCTATTTTAATATTACTATCTTTATTATTATTATCAGAATTAGATATTTGAAAAATTAATTAAAATAGTATAAAAAGTTAATTTAGATTATTTTTTATTTAATATAAAAAAATTATAAAAATTAATTAAAATTTGAATAATTTTTATTAGAAGTAATTATTAATTTTTATATTAAAGTATAAATTTTTTGTACTGATTAATATATAACTAAATGACATACTAATTTAATATTAGAGTATTATTACTTTAAATTATATTTAATATTAATTAATAAAATTTAATTTATATAATATAATTATATGTAAAATTAATATATCTTTATGCTAATTTTTTGAATTCATTATAAAAGTTAATAAAATTTAAACTCTCTCAAAATAAATCAAAACAAAAATCTCTCTTACAATTTTTTATCTTTTTTAAAAATATCTATTAATTTTTTTAATTATTATTGATAATTAGCCAGTTCTATAAGATAAACTTTTATATTTATAGTTTTATAACTAGAAATAATATTATAAATAGTAATTCAAGAAGTATTTAAAGTTTTAGTATCTCTTTCTATTTAAAATTATATTTTTAAATTCTAATAATTTCTTCATATTCAAAAATAAGAAGTTCTTTTTTTTATTAATTATATTTTATACAGGAAAGTCTTAATAATATATGATAAAAAACTCGAGATAAATTAATAATAAAATGATTAATATAACAGATTTTAAAGATAAATAAATAAATAATCAGTAATCCTGTGATTGATGACTTTTTTCATATATTATAATTAATTCTCTATATATTGATATAAATATTTTTGATCTAATATATTAATACAAGAGATTAATATATATAAAAACTTATACTTTAATTTTATTAAAAGTTATATCCTAATAATAAATAATCCAATAATTAACTCAGTATATAACTTTATTTTGAGTTTTAAATAATAAAATTCAAATTATCTTGTAATTTAGTTTTTAAATAATATCTAAAAATTACCTATTTAAGACTATTTACTTTAAATATATTTTTTTCTTCAATTTTAAAATTATTTAAGAGATTTTATAAAAATATAAGCATATATTTTTAAAAAGTAAAAGTGTATCATGTATTCTAAGTCGCATCCTGTTATATTATTAATAACATGATCTAACCCTTTTCACTACATTTTTTTTACTTTATGTTTGGTAAATTAATTGTATAATAATAAATAGTAATAATGATTCAATAATGCTATCCAACTATTATTTTTTGCGTATCAAGACCTGTATATTAAGAATATATTATTAGTATATATCTATTATAATCAGAATTGAGTAAATTATACTTTTTCGTATGTTAATCCAAAGCAATTTTCGAGCCAAGTGGTAATAATTAAGGTCGATAATAATTTGCATTGGAAATATATAATTAATCAATATCGCACAGAAATATTCCTTCAACGAAAACCCGTGAGTGTATGTATATTGAATTGACGTTGTACACACAATGTGCTTTATTCTTTCCAAGAAATTGAGAAATTGGTAACTTGAATTTGCTTAAAGGCTTACCTTGTTAAACAAAAACGATCTGTTTTTTTAATTTCTTGGTAAGAGAAAAAAAATATTTTGTTTTTGATCGTCTAATCACAAGTACCCTAGCCACGGCAAACAAATGAAAATAGCTTGTATCTCGGAATTTTGTCTATGAAACCACTTTTTGTGTTCTAACGAAATACAATCTTAATTAACTACTCATAAGAAATCACATGAGCTGACAGTATTTTTTTGTCATGACTAGGGTTCTATCCAATCACAGGCACATGTAATATCGATATAAAAAATCTACAAATTATATAAATTATCAATTGACAAAAATGAGTACTTCGAGGAAAGTAAAACATGGAAATGAAGACGGCGACGAAAAGTCTTCCAATAAGAAACAGAAAAAAGGCAAGCAAAAATATGCTTCACGTCACCGCTATGTTACTATTAGTATATCTATCTGATTTGTAACCTTTTCAACGTTAACAGAGCAACATACTTTCAGTAATAGCTACACAAGTATAGCAACGCAGCTTGATTCTTTTGGTAGTATTCTGAAATCCTTTTTTTTGCGGTTTTGATTCATTAATTAAATTCAAGAAACATGATCAATATTATCGAATCTCGAAATTATATAAGAATTGTGAAGATATATGTCTTATTAATAAAAGAATTTTGATTTTCTAATAATATTTTTATTTATGATTTTATATTTTGTCATATCTGCTTTTTGTTACTAATTACCGAAATCGATAATTTAATATATACTAGCTGCAGAATATGTGCCAAGAACTCTGAATGTGGTTGACTTCGCTGAGGCTAGTGTCTCTAAATATCAAAATATCCAAAATAAAAAGATTTTAATTTATTTATTTATTATTATTATTATATGATACAAATAAATAGGCAAGAGCCTTTGAAATAAATGCAATGAATGATGCTTTGGAACGAAGAAAGTTAGTACACCTCATAATTTAAATAATTCATAAATTCTGTCCCCGTGTTTCATTGATCGATTATTATAAACATCGATAATTATTAATAAGAGCACGTATTAAAACCCAACTTCTCAAAAAGACAAGCAAAGAATCTAAGAGCCTCCCAAACTCTCCCTTCCCATCTTCGAAGACGAGCCGCCAGTCATAATGTCAAGCGATTACCGGTTCGATTACGTGAAAAAGCCAAGGAAGAGGTATTTTAATTTATAACGCTCGGCAATTATTGTATCATTTAAAATAGATCATTTAATAAATTTTTATTAGATGGGTACCTCGATCAAGATTAGTAGGCGGAGAAAAAGGCGCCCAGGTTCTTTGATCGATAAGTACACGCATAGACAAGGTATTTAGTTGATCCTTTATGTCAAATTAATAGATAAAAGTCTTATCACGATTTCGGATCTTTTATTTTGAAAATAGTAAAAATTCGGTGGTTAGAAACACATATTTGGCATGCAAAGAGAATGAAAATGATTGAAAGCTGGGGATACAAATTGGTACCCAGATTTATTACATTTTTTATACTATCTCCCTCCCTATCCTAAATGAAAAATTTCTATAGGCAGAGCACCCAAGCGAAAAAAGTATAAAGTCCTCATACCGAGCAAGTTCGCATCTTACCATTATAAACGATGTCTCATATTTCGGATTTATAAAATTAATGGGTGAACAAACTCACTTGATCAAACTATTCAATTCGGTGACTGATCCTACTTTGCCGTCTATTGGAAGCGAAAAGTATAAATTTCATATATGATAATATTGTAATAATATCTATCTACTGATAATTCATGTCTTTTTATTGCATTTTTTTACTAGATATCTCAAAGGAAAACGACAATGTTCTACATATTTATATTATTTTTCAAAATATCCGACACATTTAGTTTCACCTATGAACCTGATTTGGCAACCCAGAAAAGAAATAAATGACATCTCGCGAAATATTCTTGTGTGGATTCATCCTTCTGCGTTTGATGAAGCTATATGTGTATTCAACGAGGCTATTAAATATCTTGAATTAGAAAAAGGTATGAATCTTATAAATCTTTATCGCTATGAATTATATTAATCAAAAGCATTTTATTTTGTTAAGAGATAATTCTGAAAAATCTTCAAACCGAACTTTTGATGTTCGAAATAACCGGTCCAAGATCAACAGCTTTATTACAGTCAGTATTGGACTTGGATGAAGAAAACACCAGAACATCACAATCCGAAGAATCCAATCAAGTATGAAAATTTATTTTACATTTCAATAAAAATTGTAATCAACCATTTTAATAAATGAATAAACTAGGTGTGGAAAGCTTTACAGGATTTACGTACATCAGCATCACTACCGCATGGTGTAGTATTAGGATTGAAAATAATTGACCCTCGCCTAAGGTATTTTTATAAATAAATCAGTAACCAAATTACAATTTAACATAACAATCTAATGTTACTAGTTTTCCTAAGAAAGTTCCACCGCGTACAAATATTATATCAGAGGCTTCACAACAAAATTTGCAAGAGATTTTGAATCATTGGCCTGATAATGTTGCTACATCTGAACTCTGGGACGACGAAAAAAGAAAATTATTGAAGGAAAATAAAATTTCCGACGGAGATTTGAATAAACGACGAAATCAGGTTTTTTTATCTTTTAATTATTGTACTACGCCTTCCTTATCAACGTTTATCATTACTTATCGATTTGTAATATCTTATTTCTACCACTCAAAAATTTTGAAGAATCTTATTCCAGGACAGAAGTTACTACCCCTAGCAGAAGATGCTCGGGTTCCAATAATATTAATTCAAAGAGGCGCACAAATTTCTCAAATGCAACAACAGCAACAGCGACAATATCCTTCTGAATACACGTGCGGTTGGAATATAATATTACCAGCTGGATGGGGCATGGCATTATGGAAAAGCTTTATTTTTGTAGGAGCATGGGTTGGTGGTATGTATATCCCAACAACGATAAATAGCCTTTTTTTTTGTGATTTTCAATTATTAATAATTTTTATCTCTTAGGTCTTCGAGAAAGACATAACTTTCATTTCGAAGCTGGCCTTTCTTATTTTCCATGCGATTATCCCGGAACTAAATCTTACGACGAATACTCACTTCAAGAAAAAACCAAAGCCGAAGACGCGTATAATAAACACCCACCTGCTAAACGACCAAATTACCAAAAACTTTTCGTCACGTCTCCATTCGAAGCACCATTTCATGATTTGTTAAAATCTAATGAATCCTCATCGTCGTTATCATCCAAACAAGATGATGAAAAACAACAACAGCCGGAAAAAATTTGGATTCTACAGGGTGAAAAGAACTTGCGGTTGCTAAACGAATCGGCGAATCTTGATGAATTTAAGGAAAGATTAGTCGATCAAATAGAGGACAGAATGAGTTCGAGTGTCTTGAATAAATATTCGTTGGATATTTCAAAAGCGGTTGTGCGTGTTCGTGTTAATTTCTTAACACGAGGTGTTGTCGGAGCCTATGCGATAATTTATAAGGTTGAAAAGAACGCTTATGATTATTGGACGAAAAGAAACCAGTCGCGGGATAGTTTCGAAGATGATCAAGAAGACGATGATATTGATAAAAAAAAGGTATTGTCCTTTATCTCTGTATAATAGTAACAAACTATGATTAAAAAAAAAAAAAAACTAAACTAAAATTCATTTATAGGATAAAAAGTTTTCGCACCATATTCCGCCAGATAACGATATAATTGGTTATGCCACTACCGGTCAATTCTCATTCAACAAAGGTCACGGTTTCGCAATTGGATGTTGTTCCGTGGTAGCAATTCATGAGCTCTTGAGAAAGCAAGTAAGGTAAGTCGAGTTAATCTCATGATTTCAAATGATAATAATATGCTGCCCAAACTTCAATCAAAAAAATATGATTTTGTTTGTGATATTTATTGATGGTGTTGAATATAAATGTCTTGTGTCTTTCTATTTACACATAAATTGATCCTCTTTCTCTTTCTAACATGAATTGCACAGTAGTATAAGTTCGGCCGACTTAAGCAGCGGACAAAATTCGAAGATGACTATTATTAAGATGGGAGCCTTAGTTAGAAAAACCACAAGTATGATATGTCGCCCAGCGTCCATTGAACTTTTACAGTGATTATTTGTATGATTTCAGGTTGTCGATCATTTTGAGTTATATATTCCTTCATATAAGTATATGAGAGAAAATGCAACGAATAAAGTTGCACCACTAAGTGTAACTTAAGTAAATCAAAAAAAAAACTGGTATTAGAAAAAATTACAAGTACAACGTTTATAAAAACAAATAAAATTGTTACATCTGTAGTTCACCTGTTCTTAATGATATTTTTTGCGCCAGCATTCGACCACCAATTACCGCAAGAGCGGTGCACATACTATGCCCCACTATTGTTCCGAGCATCACGTAATATACATTCTAAGGAAAAAATTTACAATTAATATAAAAAAAAGGAGTATATCACATTCAGTATATTAATTAATTCACCTGTGCAGCGCCTAGAGCAATAGTGGCAATCTGTGACCGATCTCCCCATTCACCAAGAAAAGTAAGAATGAAAGTCTGCACAAAAACAGGTGAAAAGATAAGCTGACATAGATTTTGTAATCCATCTGTCAATCCATTGCTACTCTTAATGTCCGGCACACCACCCGTTTCAACAGCAGCAATAAGTTGTGCCTCTTCTTTTTCATTTAGCTCTGCTGAGACCTCTTCTAATTCCTGATTTGTCTCCTCGGGCGACATATGCCATCCCTCAAACGCCATTTTAATCCCGAAAAAAAGAAAAAGAATAGCTGCTAGGTAATTTGTATAAATTTGTGGTATCAGATTTGGTACTACATGTCCAAGAATTGCAGAAAGCACCGACATCACTATCAATGAACTAAATGCAGCAGAGAACACCACTAGGCGCGAATACTTCATTGCCATTATTGCTGCAATTAAAAAGGTTTTGTCGCCGATTTCTGATACTATTATCATTAGAAAGCTGAGAATAAAAGATTTTTGATCCTCCGCGTTAATTAGTGCAAATTTTCTAGTATTTATGGTGGTTACTTCTATATTAAGTAGCGAATTTTCGCGTTCCGAACTCAGGCCATTAAGTGCACCTAAGTCGTTCTATATCCGTCAAGTTGATTTTTTGTTTTTTTTTTTAGTATTTACATTATTGCTAGTTAAAGTCATAATCCCATCAGATTGAATGAGCGATGAACTCACCTTCCAATGAACTATTTCATGAAAATTTGAGACTTCATCCACGTGCAGCAAGTTTGCTTGAACAGCATTAATGGACAAAGTAAATAAAAGTAATAAAAGAATACAGTAAAATATGGACGCGAAATTCCAAGCATTCAACATCATGATTACTTTATATTTTTATTAGAGGTCGTAATTAATGGAAAGAGACTGAAAACACCATCTAGGCAAAATATATAATGGAAATATAAGCTTGTTAAACAAACAAACAATAAATAAAGAGAGGCTGAAAATTCTAAAAGAAAGTGGAAAGAAACGAAGGTGAGAAAGGTGGTGTTTATTTGTGTTTCGAATTATTTGCGGCTATTTTTAAGGTTATTAAGGTTATCAAACCAATTATTTTGTTCAAAATCAACACATTATATTCTGTATTATTGTATTAAAAAAATCATATTTTTAATTGTATTTCATACAAACCAAGAAAAATGCAACAATAGATATCGATTCAACCCGATACTAATAAATATTGTGAAATCAGCCCCGACAGGAAAATTCACGTATTCTTATTGGCTGTTGAATGATGATCGAGATGTTCGACAAACACAAATTTGTAGTATGGCGCAGTAGTTGATGACTTTCACTCGAATTCTTTTAACGTTATTTTCTACCACTAAAAAATGACCACGAGACAAAATCTTGCCCGTTGTTATGTGAGGGAGAGAAAGTTCAAAAATAATTCCCTGCTCTTGATAATAACGATAATAGTATGCCTGTTAAGTTACAAGGCTCCGACAACTACTGCACTTTATTTTTATTTGGAGGGTACAGAACAAAAATGTTTTATTGAGGAACTACCAAAAGACACACTTGTAGTTGGTGATTATTGATAACTATCAGATATTTTTAAAAACGAATTCTTTTTTGCATCCATTATTCTAAAATTTCTTTGGTTTCCTATAGGTAACTATAAAGCTGAACTGTGGTCCGAAGATCAAAAAGGTTTTTACGAGAATCCCGATCTTGGAATTCAAATCACAGTCGATGTAAAGAATCCAATAATTTCCAAAATGATATCAAACGTTTGTGAATTCATTTACTTTAACATTCACACATGTCAATATACATGCAGGAATTATTAGCTCAAGGACATACGGTAGTAAATCAAAAAGGGCCAAGTCATGGCAGGTTCACATTTACAGCAGTTGAGGCGGGGGACCACGCAATTTGTTTTGCTGCGAATGCGAGTGCATGGTTTAGTTCGATTCAAACTGTAATGCGCATTTTAATTAAATCTTTCAATGAATATGATTTTCGATAAGTATATATAATTATCAGAATTTTGTTCATGATTATTCGTGTTTTGTTCGGATAAATAGAGGTTAACTTTGGATATGGCTATCGGTGAAACAACTAACGAAGAAGAGAATGATAAGGAACACTTTAGCGGTATTTATTTATTTTAATTTTCGAACATGACATGGTACATTGATAATGGATGTCCTAATCCTTTTTGTCCCTCGAATAAAAAAAGAATTAGCACAACGCGTGCGTGATCTGAATAATCGAGTAGCCGACATTAGACGCGAGCAAAGTTATCAGCGAGTACGTGTTAATCTCGTCCCCTTCCCTTTTTTTTTTTTTCCTTCGAATTATTAATAACTAAGTGAATCAATGCATGAATACATAATAGGAACGTGAGGCCGAATTCCGTGATCAATCCGAACTGACCAATTCGCGCGTAGTCTACTGGTCCTTCGTCCAATTGTTGGTCCTGGGAATAACTTGTCTATTTCAGATGCGCCATTTGCGAAGCTTCTTTGAGGCAAAGAAACTTGTTTGATTCGATTAAATTTAATTTATTAGTTTGCGTAGAATTATCAGAGATCATTGTCATTATTTAATTTTTTATTCATCATTTTAAATTAATGCAAATAGCATTATTGGTGTCAAAATTTTTTCAGAAATCGAGAACAAAGTATAACATACATAATGTTTAATACTTCTCCGTCGGTCTGTTCAACATCAATCATCATCATTTTTTGTTTTTCAAGGAGGTGTTGATGATTTTTAACGTGTAAAATGATGATTGATGGTGCACATAAAACTTTTTAAGGTGCATGTACATAAATAAGACGTGTGTGTGCCGATAATGGTTGGTTTGTGAGGAATAACGAATGTTGGTGTTTTAGACAATAAAATAATGAAAAATGATTCGCCATTAAAAAATTAAAAAAAAAAAAAACAATAATTTATTTTTCATGATCGTATTCTTCAAGAATACTGAATTTCGTTTTCTTCCATGAAACCTTGGCCATCAACATTATGGAAGTCTGGATAAAATTAAATGGTTTATATTTTAATCCTGATGAGAAAATTAGAAACATGAATTTGTTTTCTTCCTCTCACTCACCTAAAATCTCTTGGTACATCATGACCTTCCAATTATCGACTGGCAAATCCGCGTCATTAAACGACCAATCGAACGGCTCATCCGCGATTGGTTCGTCTGTTTCATCATGATATGGCTCGAGATATTTATGTGCCAACGCTTGTTCAGCTGTAATCCGTTTTCTTGGGTCGAAGACTAACATTCTTTCGAGAAGATCCAAAGCTGTTGTTTTATTCGTTAATTATAAAAAAAGTGTGAATTTGAGTGCACAAGTATGATAAGGATGCATATTAATTACCATCGGGTTCGGCATTCGGAAACTTTTGCGAGAATGGAATTTTTTCGCGTTTCGGCAGTGATTGAACGAATCGAAGAGTCTGATTGTATCAGTAACGTTAATGATTATTTGCATAAAAAGAATTTTTATCAGGTCAATCTTAAAAAAAAATTCATACATTTTCGCTACAAATTGTCTGTATCACATCTTCAGGTGGTGTCCCGAGTAACTCGGTAATGATAGAAAATTGATTCACATCTAACAAAGAATAATAGCGTGTTGATTATTACTGAATAATGAATACAATACGAAAGACAGTCCGGATAAACGTACGATCTTTGCCCGGGAATAACGGTTTTCCTTCCAGCATTTCCGCAAAAATACATCCGACGCTCCAAATATCAACTTTAATTAACAAGAGATTAGCCACCGAAAAAAAAATTACAATACTGAATAATTATTGAAGTTACCTGCAACATCGTACTTTTGCCATGTCAGCATAATCTCCGGAGCTCGGTAATATCGAGTGGATACATATCCGGTCATTTGAGGATCTTGAATTCGCGCCAGACCAAAATCACAAATCTAATATATACACACACATGATAAATCTAACAAACAACCAACGAAAAAATTACCTAAGTCTCTGAATTTCTGAAATATACCTTCAAATCACAATTTTCGTTCACAAGGATATTACTAGGTTTCTATATGTTAGATGATTTTTTAAAAAACTCGAATTACTTAAATTTTGGATGAACGATCAATAGCATTTTTTTTAACCCTTACCAGATCTCTGTGCACCACTCCAGCAGAATGAACATATTTCAAACCCCTCTATATAAATATATATATATATATGTACGTATAATAAATATATTAAGATACAATTGTGAACTAAAAAAAAAATTGCGATCCTTCATGAATGCAATTAGAAAATCCTACCAGAATCTGATACAAGAAGTATTGAATAAACTGTTTCTCCAACGGGCGTGATGTCAGTAGTCTGTGCAAATCTGTTCCAAGTAGTTCTGTAACAAAATATCTGTATTTTTCCATGAACATACATTAGTATCTTTTAAACGAATCAATGATATATCAAAATTTAGTATAGAATACACTTACATATCCTCTAATGGAGAAATAAAGATGTCACTTAAGCTAATGATCTACACGAATAAATTAACGGAGAGATCAATTGAAAAAAAAATCTTGAGCGCGCGTGTAGAACCGTAAATCATGGAAGAAAGAGGAGAAAGAAAAAGGATAATCACATTCTCGTGTTTTAAATGCTTGAGCAGCTTCAATTCGCGATATGTTCTCTTTGATAACACAGGTGTGCTAAAAGGTTTCATAATCTTTTTGATAGCGACATTGGTGCCGGTCAATTGGTCCTTTGCAGAACTTTTTTGTGGTTGAAAACGGTAAAACGAACGCGTTAATTATTTATGTTGAGGTGGATACGGCGTAATTAATTTCTCACCAAACTAGACCAAAAGCCCCCATACCAACTGGTTGAAGATCTACATATCTGCCAGCGAGACGCGTCCGTGAGGGTAGGCAGTGAATTAATATTTTATTATCAACATATATTATATACGCATATATATAGATATAGATATATATATACACACATATATATTACAAATTTCGTAATAAAATAAATCAAATTCTGCAACAAAAATGCAGAAAACATTTTATTAACCTTGTCGTCACTTCAAAAACCGTTCCAAAAATCGACAACTTTACAAATTCGGCCATTTTAGCTCATTTATTATCTAATATTATGCTAATATTTCTAATATTATTACGAAATAGAGACCGTAATTCAAAGCTTATTTGCTAATAAGAGAAGAAACTAGTCAATAAAAAGCGGGCACACCCTAATTTATTTTATCTTCTTTGTAGATCATGTCTTAACTTTGACAACGATGATGTCATGTTGATGTGTTGAACGCGCGAAGTTAGCCACAAATGCATGTTGGTGGTTGGTTACATTCCAAGAACACAAAATTACGTTTAGGAGAATGAATTATTACTGATTTAGGTAGAATCTATTATTTTAATTCGAACGATACAATACTCATTCACGAGGAGGATTGTCTAATTTCAGACATTATTTTCTGTGCGATATTCTTGTAATATTGAGCTTGAATGCTATCGGGTTTTGAGATAACAATCGGTTGACCACGATCTGATAGTTCACAAATTTCGGTGTGTAATGGTATGTCACCTAACATTTTAAGGTCCATCTCTTTTGCGACTTTTGATACGCCATCATTTCCAAAAATGTGTGTCTGATGTTGACAGGATGGGCAAATAAAGATTGACATGTTTTGAACGATTCCAAGTATCTATTTCATTTATAATAACGATGATTAATAATTAACCTCTACATTATATAAAGATCGTGACTAAGGGAATAATACTTGCTGGGACTTTGACTTTCTTGAACATATTCGCGCCTTTTTTTGCATCTATTAACGCGATATCTTGAGGCGTGGAGACAATTACAGCTCCTATCAAGAAAGAATGCATTCATAAAGAAATCATCGAAATGAAAAATGCATGCTATATATATAAGTTATTTTACCATCTAATACGACCTGCTGGGTGATAGTCAACTGTACATCACCAGTTCCGGGTGGCATATCAATCACCAAAAGATCCAATTCATCCCAAAAGACTTGGTGAATTAATTGTTGTAAAGCTTTCATAACCTATAAATCATTAATTGACATATTATACGATATCCACATTATACTGAATGTGTAAATTAAAAATGTCAATCAATTACCATTAAGCCACGCCAAACTACGGGTGAATCTTCTTCCGGCACCAAGAATCCAATCGACATACACTTTACTCCATAATTAGTCAACGGAATCAACTGTCCTATCAGATTGCTGTTAAGAAACTCGCAAGTACCAACTAATTTTTGAGTTTAATCATTCTTTAAATATTTGACCAAAAAAAAAACCTTTATCTGTCATATTTGGTTCACCCTTCAAATTCATTAGTCGTGGGATTGAAGGTCCAAAAATATCAGCATCCAAGACCCCGACGCGTTTTCTCCGTAACGAGGCGACAGCTAATGCAAGATTAACTAAATTCACAATACACGCAAATATTTATCTTTCACATCAAGATTTTGTGCATACAAAATGCGGTTTTCCAAGGTACTATAATCTCTCCACTTCAAACCAAAAAACATACCAGCAACCGTAGATTTGCCAACTCCGCCTTTTCCTGATGCGACAGCAATCACCTGTTTAATTCCTTCTATCCTTTGCTTGGTGGGAAGACCTTTTTTCATTCTTTCCAGGAACGCTGGTGATTGCTGTCCTGGCGAGGGCGGAATTCCCTATTTTGAAAAACGGTTATTTTTGCAAGTATGAGCAAAAAAAAAGGGGGAGGGGTGCTTTGAGGGGAATGCCTGTAAGGTAAAAAATTTAATACCAGAGGATTTTCATGTGCGCATAGACAAGTAGTATGGAAATAACCTTGGGAAGTTGGAACAACGCGAATTAGATGTTTATTGAAATTACGAGCCAAGTTACGCGTGTACTTCAAATACATTCTACTGTATGCGATTTGCATGCATGCACTTAATTTAGAAAAATAAAAGTAACTTCTTTTATTGTGTTTTAATATTTAAGAAAAATTCCGCATATTCTCGCATTCAACCATATTAGGATCAACTCGGATTTTTTTCAAGGGAATTACGAGATTTATAGGAATCGCGATCTCGGCACAACTTTTGGCTCCCAAGCATGATATTTTGGAGCGGTGGTATTATAAGGTTTGTACGCTTTTTCGGTTCCTGTGAAATTTGGAATGTGTGTGGTTTTGTATATGGGGTTGGCAGGCGGTTCGACTGTTGGTGGGTATTCGGTTATTTTATGGATCCATCGATGCCTTTTCGGAAATAAATTCAGGGATCATATTTTCGAACAAATAACACGATATAAAAGAAAAACAATGTATCTACCATTCAGGAGGAATCATGCTGGCATCTTCGTATGCATCTTTATATAATGTTCCCCCATATTCTACCCATCTGTCTCTCCCTATAAAACATCACAACTAAAATTAATAAAATGATAATTAAAAGATACCACACGAATAAGTTCACTTTAGAGAGGGTTCACACTTGGACGAATCTCCATCTCTCTCCAAAAAAACTAATTCACCACAATGCTCTCTGCAAACAAATTTTTTTAAGAAAAAAGCCTAACCATAAATCTCCTCTTTGTTCTCATAATACTTGTTTCCAAACCGATCAACACCGACTAACGTTCCTGCTTTTGTGTCTCCTATATGTTGAAGTTGTCGCCAGTATGATACTGGACCAACTTTAAAGAAATTTTTTATTATTCGTGTTATGCCTGCAGACATTTGACTGTTTGGAAAGAGTTTATGAATATCATTACAAAGTTATATATTTTTACGCTACTCAAAATGTGATTATAAAGAGGATGTGATTATAAAGAGGGTGATTTTTATTCGGGATTCTAATGCGGACCAGAATCAAATGATAAAAAGTGATGATGTATCATTAATCCTTGCAAGCTACTTCACATGAGCAATAACGAAGACTACTCATACTTAGCAGTCGCACCCAGAGATCAATGATGTAAGTGATTTCTCTCCAATTCCTTGACGACTTTGTTCGTCCTCGATAATCTGTCCAAATAGAGAACAAATTATCTGTTGAATAAGTGCTTTTCTAGAATTGTAGCTTGCGTTGTTAATGAATGCATAATAATTTACCAGATAAATAAATTTTAACAATGTTCTAATTTCTGAATTGTGGGATTTTTCGGTGAATATTCGGTAGATTTACCGGTACCATCTCATTGACGCGACTCTGATCCACCAACTTTTCTTTTTTGGTTGATTTGATCAAAGGGAAAGAAATCTGTAATCACTCGATTTTCTTGATGGAATATTTAGAGCATTTATTACTATCGTTACTATTATTTGATTACAAATAAATTAATTTTTTTTTGAACTCACGAGAAATGAAAAAGCGGTGTCATTTGTGTGTTCGCTATCATAAATATTATTCTTATTATTCTTATTATTTATCGTTATTATCCTTGCTTGAATAGTCATATAATAGTGGCCGATACTGCAGACAAGAAGAGCGTCACACCCTATTAGGTTATATAAGTGTCCGCTCGTGCCTCTTTTACACACACACACACACATATATATATACACAAAACTTCCTTCACTCGAATACACAATTACTTCACGTGTTATTTGCTATTTCTTATATTTGTATGGTTGATTTGTTGATTAGAATATATATCAATGGCAGGGACAATAACTACAGCGATAGCAGATTTGCCTACTCCAAAGATCTATCATATTGCTGAGCGTAGATATTGGAGTGCGACAACTGCTTTACCCGATTATGAGAAATTCATCAATACTAATACACCGCTCGTTATTGATAACGGTAAGATAGACATAGAACACAGTGAAGGATAAGCTTGCTTTTAATTAATTGGAATAAGTGAACAACGCATCTCTAATAAATAAAAACATCATCATTTTCCTCCAAAATGTTCATCTAAGAAATGGTTGTAATTATTTCAAATCTGACCTTACATTGAATTCATTATAATAGGATCATACCAGTGCCGTGTTGGATGGGCAGCCGATACTACACCCAGATGTAATTATATATTTACGGAATTAAATACATCGAAATATCCAAAATCTTGAACTAATAAAAATAATCCTTATAAAAACATCCAGTACAATTCGACAATTTAATGTCGAAATATCGTGATCGTAAATTATCGCAAACGGTGTTATTGGTCGGGAACGATATCTATACAGATGCAACGGCGAAAACGAATGCGAAATCAGCCTTTGATGGAAATGTTGTCATCAACTTCGAGACAATGGTTGGTTTGTATGTTTTTTCAAGTGGATTCTTTTTTCACCTGAAGGAAGCAAAGAACACAATGATTCGATTCTTTTATCATCACAGGAAAATATTCTAGATTATATTTTCGTCAAACTGGGAATCAATACAGACCGAGTTAATCACCCAATATTAATGACCGAGGCTGTTTGTAATCCACTACAATCGCGTAAATGTAATTGATCTCACTAGTTTATTGCATTCAAACCTTGTTTTCGAGAGAATAATCATTGTTAATCAAACAAATCATTTAGCAATGTCAGAATTGCTATTTGAATGCTATCGTGTCCCGTCTGTATGCTATGGAATCGACGCGTTATTTAGTTATTACGCGAATGGACTTTCATTTGAAAAAGGAGGAATCGTCGTTTCGTCGGGTCATTCCACAACCCATGTGATTCCTATACATAATAATCGTGGCGTATTGGAACAAGCGAAAAGGTAATTGATTTTCTATCACCTAATGATTTATGGCTTCTTATCTTGAACTGAACTTTTTCATTATCTAGAATATCTTACGGAGGGTATTCGTCAACGGATTTTATGCTAAAATTAATGCAACTCAAATATCCTACATTCCCGACCAAAATGAGTGTGAATCAAGCTCAAGTATGTTTCATCACTGTCATCTTTTATAGTAAACTCGAGCAATTTAAATAGAACATCAACGCACTTTTTTTTCTTGATTATTTTTATCAATCAGCATCTATTACACAATTATACCTATGTGGCAGAAGATTACCTTGAAGAACTAAGGAAACACGAGAACCCGATAACTTTTGCATCTCGAGATCGTGTTATTCAGTTTCCTTATATACCACCTGTATTTATATTATTATTATTGTCATTTTATTTTTTTTTACAATTTTTCGTAGTAATTATGATGTAATGTATAGGCCGTAACTGAAAAAACCGAAGAAGAAATCGCACGCGCTGAAGAAAGAAAAGCCGAGCAAGCGAGACGTTTAAAAGAACAAGCCGAAAAACTACGGATGACTAAGGTTATTTATCAGAAAAATACCATAAGTTTCAAAATATTTTCGTTGATTATATTAAGAAAATGTTGCATGCTGATACTTATCGATTGATTGATTGATCATCAAAAGTTGCGAGATCACGAGGAAAACTATGCATTGTATACCGCATTAAAAGAAAGTAAAACAAAAATTCGGAAAGCTGATTTCATGGTAAGTTGTATACCTTCATTCTCGATGGTAAAGTTAATTATAGTTGCTACCATAAAAATTGAACCATATTTTTATGGCATATAGGCACGACTACGAGAAAATGCAATAAAGGATGAAGCCGAATTGGATGAGCTTATTAAAAGGAGTGAGAAAGCAATTCAGCGAGCTCGAAATAAACTATTGGGAATTGATGAGATTGAAATAAAGGTTCGTCAATTTTATCGAAAGAAACTATTTCTGTCTTCTTATTGAGATTGATTGTTTTCTTAATCTCCGGCATTAATTTTGTCTTGATGTTTTGTTTAATAGGAAGAACCGACGTTTCCTCTGGTTGACATTCCAGATGGTCAATTAGACGAAGCTGAACGGAAAGAAAAAAAGAAACAATTGGCGTCTAAAAGTTTGCACGAGTCACGACAGCGAGCACGTGAAGCAAAAGAATTGGCTAAAAAGCAACAGGTTAATCATAATTAAATTTGACAATAATTAAAAAAAATTAATCCCAATAAAATTCGATTTATTTTTTTTTTCATTTAGGAAGAGGAAGAACGCATAGAGGATGAAAAACGAAAAACAGATTTCAATGGATGGTTACAAGACTTGAAGAAAAATTACAAGGTTTAATTTTAATTAGAGTATTAACAAATATGGGGAAACTCCAGTCAACAAATTTCAATGCTTATCAACAAATTTCTGTTTCAGGATCAACTTGACAAGGTCAAGCAATTGAAACGAAGAAAAGAGCAGCTCTCAGATAGAAGAAGTCATGCATCGCAGCTAAGAATGAAATCAATCGCTACTTTAGCGAGTGACGCGCCACCGCCTAAAAGGCGCAGGAGAGGGCAAGATGGTATGCGCTGAGAATTTTTTATTTGAGTTAAATATTTAATGTCTCATTTAATTTTGTTTTTAGAGGATACTTTCGGGGCTGATGATAATGATTGGGAGATATACAAAGAAATAGTAAGAGATATATATCTCTCGTTTTATCTTCTCCGTCATCTTTTCTTTCTACTAACGCTGAAAATCCATTTAAAAGAGCAAGGATGATGACGGATGGGAAGAAGAGGAGGAACTATCGCAACTTCGCGAGTTCGAGAAAAAGCTACTTCAATACGATACCACATTTCTACCCGAGCATACATTCGACGCACAGAATTCTATACAGAAGTCTCTGATGTTTATGTTCACGCATGGTGTCGCACCACCATATGATCCTGAGGATGTTTCGCAGCTGCATCAATTGCATGTTAATGTGGAACGGGCTCGTGTGCCCGAGGCGTTATTCCAACCCAGTATCGTCGGATTGGATCAGGCTGGTGTGGTGGAAACTGTTGGCGATATTGTGAAGAGGTTCGATGAACGAGATAGGAATAATTTAGTGCAGGTGAGATTTTTTACTAGTCGCTATAGAAATTATTCAATTTTACAGAAACTAATGACAATGCATTTCAATCTCGAAAAAGTCGGTATTCTTAACAGGTAGTCACACAAAAACTCCGGGACTAGCAGAACGTTTCGAAAAAGACCTTCGAGCAATTTTACCTGCTTCGGCACCCCTGAAAATAATCAAAGCAAAAGACCCGGCACTTGACGCGTGGCATGGTGCTGCATTATGGGCAAGATCTGATGATTTTTTGCAGTATGTAGTCACAGAACAAGAGTATCAAGAAATGGGAGGAGAATATATTAAAGAACATAAATTTGGAAATGTGTTTCGTGCGTTAAAATAATAAAGTCAGGTTTTACTTTCCGGAGCCCCAATTTCATTTAAAAAGGTCCAAATTTGTAGTTTAATTACACGTGTTTACGGCCTAATAAAGTATCACGTGATTTGATTGATTTCATTAGTAGATTAGAAAATACAAAATCAAAATTTTTTGAATTATTTGGTTTCTCTCGTGCTCACACCTTGAATTCTTTGACGAAACTTGGTCAGAAGTACCACTTTATACATAATGGTAAGCAACCAAAATTTTCAAACATGATGGATGAATTGCTTTCATTATCGATTCGTCGTCGAATCAATCATCTTTTTATCACGCAATGTTCTGACCAAATCTCTATTTTGTAATAAATAACGAAAAAATAAAACACCAGGCCGACACAGCAGCACCCGCTACGACCATCCGTACCCGAAAATTCCTCACAAACCGTCTTCTACAGCGAAAACAATTCGTCGTCGACGTTCTCCACCCGAATCGTCCAAACGTGTCGAAAGACGAACTTCGCGAGAAACTAGCCAAAATGTACAAGGTTGAAAAAGAGGTCATTTTCGTGTTTGGCTTCCGTACAGCGTTCGGTGGTGGTCGATCGACGGGATTTGGACTTATCTATGATAGTTTAGACTCGGCGAAGAAGTTTGAACCAAAATATAGGCTTGTGCGGGTAAGTATTAGTTGATGTTTCTATTAGAGATACATGTACATTTAATTTTTTTTCTCGTCCGATCTCAATTGAAATATTTGACTTGAATTTTTATTAATCTTTTGAATTTTCGATTAATTCAATTTACAATTTAATTTATTAGCATAAACTGGAAGAAAGTCAAAAGACTGCGCGTAAACAGCGCAAAGAACGAAAGAATCGTGCCAAGAAATTACGTGGTACAAAAAAAACCAAAGCCGGTAGCGCAAAAGAAAAAAAGTAGTATTAATAATATCTACCATAATAGAATCTTCATTAATATATACATCAGAGAAAAATATTGCGAGATGTGGTGGGATTTGGTGTTGGACGAAAGAGAGAAATTTAGTATGTTATTTAGTGAACATGACGGTTATTATGTTGAAATGAAAGAAGGTTAAAGTTAAATGTGAGGCGTTGTTACTGATTAATTAATTTATCTCCAAAGTCATTAAAGACATTTTTATTATCTCAATCATAATAAAATAGTATTTTGCCACGTGATATTTATTTGTCTAAGTCGCGTTTTTGTAAAACCCCACTTGCCTCAGAAACTCGTGTTTATTTTGGATTTTTGAATTTGAAGATTATTCTCAATTAAAATTAGAAGGAGAGAAAACAGAAGTTGTAGCTTTTTTTAAGACGGCTCTGAGGAAAATGTCTGTAGACTTGAATATACCTTCACCTTCTTCAAGAGACGAAGAATTACTCTCTTTAAAGACTCCTACCTCTCGACAATTTATAAAGGCTTCATTATCGAACCAAGAGACTAATAAGTTTGAAGAACCATTAAAAACACTAATAACGAAAGAAGATAGTGGCAATGTAAACACATTGGAATCAAATACTATTATGAGTGGGAGTGCTTTTAATGCTTTTGATTTTGCTACTCCTTCTCCTAACAATAGCAGTAGCTTTCAAGCGGCTCTTTTGAATACTTCAAATAGTGAAAATTCAGCAAACGAGTTTTGGAAGGAAAATACTGATGAAGCAACGCCGACAACACAATATTATCAGAATCAATCGTCTTCATCTTCTTCGGATGTATTTGAAGAAAAGAAAAGCGATGATACGACGACATCAACAACAAAAACAGCTATTAATCAGCAACAGAATTTTATTAGTACTATTACAACTACAATCTCTGGTTTGACTGACGAAAATTCGCCGTTTATAGTGGGACAAGCTGAATCCATCGAAATACTTAACCGAGAACAAACAAAATTCTTACGACAAATTAAGAATGAAGAAGAGAAGCAGGGAAAAATATCTGAAGATAATAAGAATGATACATTTATTACAAATGCTAGTACTACCAAGAACAAGGATGTCGGCGAATCTCCACGAAAACGTACGTGCCTTTTTTTTTGTTATCGCCTAAAAAACAAATATTGGTTGATAATTAATTATGGGATAGGTGTTTTAGGTCTAAATACCGGGACTTCGATTTTTCAATTCTCTTCACAATCACCGCCAAGCGCAAGTAATGACCTGACGTACAATGTACCGTATCTTTTCGAATCCTCAACGAAGGAGTATTATGATAATGCTACATATACAGCAGTGTCCAGTGTCCGACAACGACTTATATCACCAAATGTGCTCAGAAGAAAGCGAGAAAAAGGTGCTCGGACCAATATGCGAACGATTCGTAATACACAAAGTAATATTAGTGGTATCGTTTCGGCAACTGATACTGAGTCGGAAGATATTGATGAGATAGCCCAGGGCCAGGGAATGCAATTACAGAGCTCACCAAAAGGTCATGAGGTGATGGTTGAGCAGACTGTCAATAATATCGATAGTAATGTGCCGATAATTGTGTCATCACGACAACATCCTGATTTTGCGAATAAGATATCATCGTATGGTCTTAGCTTTTACTTAATGATTTGAGGTATTGTATTTGCAATTTAAAGGTTATTCTTATATATGTAATATTTATTTTTTTAGAATCCTGTGTCTAGTGCCCCAGTTAATAATAGTAGGACTTATCGTTTGGTTTATTTTCCAATTTGCTTCTGATGTGAATGTGATAATTAACGAAAAATTGCAAGGTAATTGCATTTTTAACTTTTATATTCAGTGTAATTACAATTATAATGAATAAGAATACATTAATTAGATCGCGTTCGAGAGACAAGAGAGTGTTCCAAGAAATACTACCAGAATAGGTGTGAGCCGGATGATCGAGTACCAGCGCTGCAGGATATTTGCATTAAATGGGAACAATATCCTTGAATTATATTACTGTTTTTTGAATTCATTATTTTCTAATGCTAAATTAGAATTAATTCTTGATTTTTATTTGGAATACTTGTATGAATCGTGATCCGGTTGTTTCAAAGTAAGTCATATATGTATCAACTAAATACTCATAAATTCTTGCACTTTAATTGTAATTCTTATTTAAACATAAAAATTTAGAGCTGAAGTATCAGCTGTGGTCATTGGTAAAGTGCTTGATCGACTAATCGAGCAATTATCGTATAAAACAATGGTAAATTATTAATACTTATTACAGTTCTCTCGTCATGACTAATAAATAATTTATTATCATATGTGCAAAGATTTTCCTGGGTGCTGGATTCACCATACTCATAGCAATCGTCATATACTTCCGAACACGTAATCATCAATCACAACCACAAGCAGTAGTAGTCTCACCCCCAACGCCTCATCATCTATACTCAATGACTGGCACGCCATTATCCATAACACCGATGAATTCACAAACAGCGGCAACTGATTTGCAGTGCATGATGCCATCATCACCAGTCGGTCAATTACAGCATTACAGTAGTTCCAACGCTACGATGTTTAATACACCGTCGACTCCTCCACAGCGTCATATAACTTATTCGCCTTCTTCACACCACCATCCTCATCCTCATTCTACTTATCATCATCAACGGCATCATCAAAATTCTGAGATCTATTATAGGACTGCCCCCAAACATACAGTATAGTATCAAGTATCAACAAACTAATTAACCTCTTTGTTCACGTGAAGATTTTCTTTATCAAATTCTACTTGTCATCATGTGAACTAGAGTTTGAATTTAATATAAATTTGGATTGTTAATCGATCATTTCGTATTTTGGTGAAATTATGACAATAATTAGTACCGACTCATAGAGTTATGAACGCATATTGTCCAACTACATCGACCTATTTGCTTCAATATAATATAAATATTTGTGTAATAACGAGTTAATGGATTCTAGAAGAGTCTGTTTTCTAATAGGAAGTGCAACATGATTGGCAACACACCAAATATAAAAATCCAACCGAGTAGTTAAGCGAGGATCACATCGATGGATCTCTTGCATATTTGATATTAACTTTGAATACATTTAGTTAATGTCTTATAATTAATGTTCATATGAAATTTACTAGTACGTAAAAGTAATTGCCTTTGATCAAATGTCTTGAGATACATGGATAACTATAATTACTCCAACTCAACAACTTCTTCATCAATAATTTTATAAGGTATTTTAATGTCATCACACATGAATTCGGCAACTTTAGACCATTCTTTCGGTAATTCTACCCTTCGCCACTCTACCGTTGCACAAGAGTTATGAATTTTTATAGATAACCAATTATAGAATTTTTTCATTTCATTTGCCACATCTTCACTGTTCACAGCCTTCTCCCAGTTCCAGAAACTCTGGAATTTTTTTAAGTTCTCGTTGTCATTTTTTTCCAGATATCTTTTCCACCGTTTAAATCGTGAACTGTCATTAGGATCCAACGAAATGTCTTCCCACCTCTCTAGATATCAGTTACAAAGTAAAAGATTAACAAAATATTCATAGTGAAAGTAAAACAATTTTACTAACCAAAAACTCCTCGAATATGAACTGCGCCCTTAAGTTTTAAATAGTCCAATTGTGCTCGGCTCTGAAAGAGCGAGATGATGATAAATAAAAACACATTATTATTGATGAAAAGTAATTTCAAGGAAAACTCACCAAAAGTTGTTCTACTAATTTTTTTTCTTCCTCTTTCACTTTTACCTTCACTTTTTCCACTTCTACCTTCACTTTTTCCACTTCTACATTTTTTTCCCAAATTATTTGCTGCTGATTCCATAATGCTGTGAACAAATTGATTTTCGTGGGTTTGATACATTTTGAAATTTCATCATCTACTAAAATTTGAAGTGAAGTCTTTTGTTGTTGCTTATTTATCATAGAGAAGCTTGAAATTCTGATCGAGTTGGTAATTTTGAGGAAACGACTCGCATTTCTATACATTTTATAAAGGATAACAGCCAGTGTTGAAAATTCAATCGAACGTAGTGATTAGTGTTGGAAAAGTTATATGTTCACAATGTTCACAGTGAACATAAATTCTGATTATATTGATTTCTTGTTCATAATTAATCAAAGTTAATGTTCACTATATGACTAAAGATCCAATAATTAATCATGTAAATATTATGATTACTGAAATAAAGTAATTATAATAATATACCATACATTCATAATCATATACTAATTCCAAATTGATTTATTTACTTTCTTCCTCATTGCACTTTTTCTACATACTTTTTGATGTTGAGAAATAGCTTCCGATAATATTACATAATCGACTTAACTTAAAAATAGATGATACATTAGAACATCAAAAAAAAACTAGATTTTTCGGGCTCGCTCTGTTTTTGCGCAATACACTATCATTTACTAGGATTTGAGCAACTTTGTTTTTTGAGATTTTTTTATGGTATTTAAGACGATCCTGACCAAAATTATAATAGGCCCAATAACATCCTGAATGGTTTTTTATTATCATCTTCGGGCTTTTACAACTTGGCGATACAGACTAAAAAATCAACTGAATCAGAGTCATTTTCACCGGATATCATGGAAGATGGGATTAAAAATATTGCATTTGTGGTTACTGTATTCTAGTTCTGACCATTTCTGGCGAAATTTGCATTGGGACGTTTATATCATCTTGGGATGAAAGGATGATACTTCAATATCCTCTAACTCCAATTCAAAAGATTTAGAACAATACATACCATTTACAATTTTTTCTTCAAGACAAACGTGATGATTATATGTCCACGTGGTGAAGTTGTAAATATAATGCGGATCAACTCAACACGTGATAGAGCAATGATATGCCCCATTTATTTAGTATTAGTATATTGTTTAACGTATATGAAAAATTCTGTTAGTAAGAATAATTCAGAGCTTCGGTTTTATAATGTTGGTATTCGCTTACATGTAATACAATCAATGAAAATTAATTTCGAAGCAATTTATGTTCTATGGACGATCTCGGATGAAAAACATACGGATAATATTTTTGTCCTGTTTTTATATGTATTATAAAGCTTTAAACTAATCCATTCGTACTAATAATTAGATTTACCACATTAATTTCAGCGATCCATGGTACATGTATTGGCGATCGCATTATGTCTCGTATACATGCTACGTACTTAAATTTTTATTAATGATCATTGTCGCATGTACGTTATTTTATTGGCTCGGACCCCCTAGTCGCAGCAACATTGAATTAAAGGTGCCAAATTTAGGAATCATTTGATCATGGTGCCAAATTTATGTGATCATATAACATTTAACATCTTAATAGAAAAGTCTAGTTATTACTTATCATTAAGTCTTATTTTTATAGGATTATCTTTATTATTCATATTTATTTATTTCTTTTTATTATTTATTCTTTATTATTTTCTTTATATTTCTTTATATGCTTACTCTCTAAATTTCTTTTATTTTTAACATTATTATTTTTAATAGTTATTCAGAATGTAAATAAAGAATTATATATTATTCTGTAATAAGCTAAAATTGTATTAAGTTAAAGTTTTTCTGATTTATCAAATTTTTAAGCCAAAATTTATTAATAATTTATATTAAAAGATAAATTAAAGATTTTTAAATAACTGATAATAATAATTTTATCTTGATATTTTAAATTTTTTTGTGAATATACAGTGACGACCAAAAGTAATGACTCAGAAATTAAATTTACTAATAAAACATAGTGATTTTCTTTCTATATAAAAATTTATAATTTCAATAAGAAATAATTTTCATTTTTGTATTAAAATAAAGTTTATTAATTGTAGTTTAACATATATTTTTTTCAAATTTTTTAGATTTTTTCTAAAAGAGTTGCTCTAATTGTAAAATTAGTGCAAAAATTTTTATTAATTAAATTTCATTTTTAATTAGTAAAAATTTTTGCATTAACTTTACAATTAGAGCAACTCTTTCAGAAAAAATCTAAAAAATCTGAAAAAAATATATGTTAAACTACAACTGATAAACTTTATTTTAATACAAAAATGAAAATTATTTCTTATTGAAATTATAAATTTTTATATAGAAAGAAAATCATTATGTTTTATTAGTAAATTTAATTTCTGAGTCATTACTTTTGGTTGTCACTGTATATTAATAAATTTATTTCTTGAATTCATTATAATATTATAAATAATCACTCAATTATTTATTTAAGCAATCTGGTAATTTTATTTATCAACTTTTTCTTTTTCAGTTATAAAATTTTGATCATTATATATTAGCATATCAGATATTTTTTATAGAAAAGTCTTTTTATTTAAATATATAGATACTTATTACAAATAATTTTAATTTTTCAGAATAAATAATTATAGAAAAAGTTTAATAAATGATTCTTTTATATTATATTCATAATAAGTAATTTAAATATCAGAAAAAAATAAAATATAAGATATTAATTGATTTTAAAAAAAACTTTTTATATTAAAATACAAGAATATCTTAATTTTTTATTAAAAATTTTAATAATTAAATTTGAAATAAAAATTTAATATCATTTATAATATTCTTACAAAAAAAGAAATTTGATTAGTTTTAGATAAAAATTCATTACTTACTAATTCTAAGTATTATAAAGTTATAAAGTTTTTTATTATTAAGTTAATATTTGCTTTATAAATTAAATATATTATATATAATATTACAAACTATATTTATAAAGATAAATTTTATCAGAAATATAGTTTATAATAAGTTTTGAGAGTGAAGACTAAATTATAATTATTCTAAAGATTTTTTAGTATTAATATTTATAAGTATTATATTAATAAGACAAAAATGAAAATAAATAATGAAAGATATGATCATAAAAATTATAATAAAAAAAAGATACCTATAACTAGAATTACTAAATTAAAAATTATAAATTTAATATACTAACTAAACTCTCTAACAATATCTTTTTAACTATTAAGTAAATAAAGAATATATATTAAAATAATCAAAGCTTTTATATATAAACTAGAGATATTATCTCAACTTATAATAATTAATCAGAGAATTATGATTAATTATAATAGTTAATTAGAAAATTATAATCAAGTTATAATGTCAACTTTAATGTAAATAAGTTTATAAGAATCTTATAAATCAAAATAAAATATACTTAACTTATTTTAAGTAAAAAATATTTATTATCTATATTTTTCAAGTAAGAAAAATATATAATTAATCAGATATAATTTATTATAATAAAAAAGATAAATGAAAATAAATATTAAAATAAAAAAAATAAGTATAATTATAAGATAAGTATAATTCAAAGATTTTTTAAATATAAAAAAATTATTATTATTCAAGTATATTATTTCATATTTAAAAGTAAAGATATTTATATATATTTAAGATTTTATAAATTTTATTTAAGTTCTGCTTACAATTTATTTATAATTATAATATATAATTATAAGTATAAAATAAGAATTAAGTAATAATTTATAAATTAATAAATAAAAATTAAAGATAAAATATATATGATAATTAAAAAATAATACAAATAATAAAATAATAAATAATAAAATAAGATGGATATTTTATAAAGAAAAGATAATAAAAAAATAAATTAATTTATTTCTAAATCATTTCTAAAATATAGCTAAATTATTAATAAATTATTTATAAATTATAGTTAATGTTAAATAAATTATATATTTATAATTCTGAAAATTTCTGAAATATTGCTAAATTATAGCTAAAATATAATTAAAATTATTATTAATATATTATTTAAATTATTTTAAATCATATACTTTCTAAAAATTAATTAATTAATTAAAAATTTAAAGTTTAAAAAATTATAAAATTAAAAAATTTATATTATCATGATAATATTTATTCTCTCTAAATAAGATCAAGCTCTAGCAAGACTAATTAAATTCTTCTTAAAATTTCTTTAATTTCTTTATTTCTAATATAAATTAGATTATTATAAGTGATTTATTAAAAATTATAAGCTTTTTCAAGTTTATATTTATCTAATAATAGATAAATTCTTTTTTCAAGAAGAAAATTTCTTTTAATTAAAGTAATTTCTTTTAATTAAGCTAATTTTTTTGCAAAATTTAAAATTTCTAAGAATATTATCTTGATATTTCTTTAAGTAATTATTTAAAATAATAATATTTTATAAATTATATTTTATTAAATTGATTATTTTTATTTTTAAATAAATCATTAAAAATTATTTGAACTCTTGTTTTCTAGTTTTGATTAGATTAAAATTAATAATTAATATTGATCAGAATTATTATTCTTGATATTTTAGTATTAATAATATTTATAATTTATTTTACTTATATATAATCTTGGAATTTATCTAGTTAATCTAAGACTTTTTCTACTATAAGTAGTAATTCATGAGATATTTTCAAAATTAAATTAAAGTTAAATTATTTTTTAGTATTAAAATTATAAATAACTTTTGAATTATTATTTTAAGTATCAAATAATTTTTATTAATCTGTAAAGATCTATTAAATTTATTATTCTTTATTATTAATAAAGAGTAAGTAAATTTTAAATAAAATTAAAATTATTAAGAAAAATATTTATTATAAAAAAACTAATAATTAATAAGAAAATATATTAAATTAAAAAAATATAAATTAATAAAAAAGAATAAAAATTTAAAGAAAAATATCAAAAAGAAAATTTACTATTTATAAAATTAAATTAAAATTTTTTTTAATAGAGAATCTATATATATATATGTATAATTAAATAAAGTTTGTATAAAATTAAGAGATAAATAAATAAATATTATATAACTAAAAATTTAATCTTAATTTTCTTCTTTTATTATTAGTATTTTTATATATTTAATAATTATTCTTAATTTGAAATAATCATTT